CGGTCTCGAGCGAATTATTCTACAATTTGTCGCGTAACGAATCATCTTCATTTCGCGAGGATAATTCGGGACCTCGATGGGAGGACCTCGGTGAAATCGGTCGCGTCTCGTTGTGAATTTGTCTCGATCTCACTGAAACATAATAATGCCGGAGCACTCAGAGTCGATTGCCATCGGACAGCCTTGGTTTAATTAGCTCCAGTTAATAATACGATGTCCTTCTATCGAACACAGCTGTAATATAATTCGCCGTAGCAGCGATGCTAGTAAACTTGTGCAGAATCTGGGACAGCTACGAGTATGTGCCGATGGAACGCAAGTTATGACTTAATCAAGTTTACTATGTCGTCATCTAGGAATATTTCCCGTTAGGACGAGATTAGAGGTACGGAATTAAAATACCATCGATAGGAGGTTACCAGACGGTGAAAAACAATGAAATTGTCCGTACACGTTCGAACCTACAAGGCGTTTACTCTGATCTCACCGGTGACACAGCGGATACATAGATCGTTATCGAGTCATTCCATCGCTCTATTAATCACCCTATCGATTCTATGACAGAGATCGCCCAAGAATCACGGGGCGCGTCCTTGAGAATGGACTTGCTGAGACGTATTAAACGCGCTCGACTACCTCGCGCGCATCTCTTCGCATGTATCTCATAACGGGCGCGGACGAGCGGTGCATCGAGCGGTGCCGTCGCAGTTGCGCGCGAGCCGCGTCGTAACGGCGTCCGAGAGAGACCACGCATGCCCTGAGAGCGTGCACGTAACGCGTATGCGTGCGCGCGTGTGCATATTTATGGTCACGATTCGAATTACGATACGCATTTCCGTTAACGAGAGCGAACGAGTCGAAGTCATCGGGTAGGGACGAGAGGCGACGGTGAACGCGAGCGAAGCGCGTCGGCAAAGCGGAGAGACAGAGGGGCGGGGGGGGGAGGGGGCACGGATTTGTGCTTCCGACAAAGGCCGGCTTCAGAACGGTGAAAACCTGGTTAAACGAGGGCGGCCGCTAGCTTTATGGCTTTACATGGTGGCCAGTGCGGTGTGTATGCGCTTCCCATGCATCTCTGCGCGCCCGGCGGCCGCACTTCGCGCCTCGATGCTTACGACCGTGGTTGCAATTCGAGTTCGTGAGTTCTTTATTATATCGGCGGGAAGTTGGAAACTTTAGGGAGAAGGTCTTGAGAGGAAAAATTCGAAAGGATTTTGTCATCGTATTGTTTTATTATCTGGCTCGGTTCGCTAAATCTAGGTTGCTCTTCCCAAGGAGAGAACCCAGCCGAAAATACTCAGCCGATGAGTGACTTTAAGCGGAACATATGATAATGAATCCGATTAAAACCGTACATCATCTCATTCTCATGTCGCCTCTCGGCAATTTGCGTGGCGTCGCGGGCGTCGGGCGCGCCATTGTGACGGAAGACGCGCCGGTCTACGCAAACGGCGTAAACATCGATTGAAACGCGATGCTATGCACTTAACGAGCATCGACGACAGACGTCCTGAGCCGGGAACAGGTAGTAGTACCTACCAGAAACGACGTCAGTAGCGAAGACTTATGGGAATGGTGCTCGTTAGCAAAAGCTAGGAGAGGTGGAGAGAGAGACTTGCGTCGTGGATCGCTGGGATTAGGGCACGCGGCAATACAATGGCAAGTCTGTCGTCCTTGTATGGCAAAGATCTCCTCTCCCGACTTTCCTCCGTCTCGCTTCATCTCTCCTCCCGGTTTCCCCCCGTCCTTTTCTCCGTCCGGTGCTCGCCTACTATTACCGTTTTCTCCGATCTTGCGGCTCTCTTTTGTTACACGGCGCTGCATTGTCGTCGCACAAGACTTGTTCGCTATTGTCGCCGACAGTAGCAACGGCCGATTATTTCTTAACTCATTCGGCTCGGCGATAATCGCTCGGGTCAGCTTCGGGCACGAGGAATAATTAGTGGATCTCGCGTGTGTACATTTCGACGGAAACGATCGTCGAAAAATACGCGCGGCTGATGGATAGCGCGATTCAACGCTGAGAAAATGAGCGAGCGGAGATGCTTACGGTAGTTCTGCGGTTAAAACGTAGCATTTTCACGCGCGTCGGTGACGGGTATTAGTCTTCGTTAAATCCACCGTCGAGGGCGTATTATTTTAATATCATCTCTCGTAGACTCTGATTACGCTCTGTATACCCGTGTCCCGCGTACGAAAAAAGAAAGGGAAGTCGTTACAGTTAATTAGCGCGCTGGAAGCATAATGGATGAGATATTTTTATGTAAGTGGAAGAAAGCAGGAATCCGTTGAGTAATAAAAGCAGCAGGTGAACGCGGGGGAGTAGCCGTTTGAAACCCGCCGTTTGATGGAGCGATCGCTCTCGGGATGATCTCGCTAACATAAATTTGCAGAAAGAGGAAGATGGATGGGCTATAAAATGTTTCGAACTTTGCACGGTTCCGAAGTGGAAACGCCGACGGAAAATCATCACGCGAGGCGCAATCCGCCCCGGTCGTGTAAAACACAACGGTTTCCCGGGGTGCTCTTTCCCCGTTGCCGAGCACGACGCGTTTTACAATGCGAGAGTCACGCGGATGTATGAATATTTTTAATTCTTCGCCGCGCACGAGGTGGAAAATGTCACGTTGCAAACAGGCGAAACGTTGCTTTCGCGTCGTGGACTTTCGTTTGCGGCGGATTCACAACTAATAATCGCGCCGCGGGATCGTTGTACCGGAAGGCACGCTCCGTGTGTTCCGCTGGAAATGGAAATTCTCCCCGCCTCCGTCCCATCGCCCCCTTAATTGCCATCACCGCCGATTATTTTCACGCGCTCACTCGCCTCGAGTTTCTTCCTTGACGCTCGCGCTGGATCGTACTGACCTTCTACCGTTGGCGAGTCTAATCGCCGGTATTTTGTTTGCATTTTCGAAGGCGCGCCCGAGTTGTTTCAATTCTGCGTAACGAAAGCTAAAAGTGTATACGTAAGGTCGAATCTTTTCCGCGCACGGGATCTTACGCGAAAGGTCTCCCAGGTAGCTCGGCCGCGGAGTCGGAGATTCCCTTGTTTCTATTTCCTGTCGGAAAACGAGCGATGTGAAACGCGCTCTGTCTCTCCACGACCTATTAGGAAAACCCGCTCGCATGACGACGACGTCTCTCGCGGGAGAGATTTTATTCCGCGAACGAGATTTATCCGAGAGGATATTAACGTCGACCGGTAACCCCTCGAAATCGACAACCTTGTGCGCGCTTCACTCACGACACGGGCGATTCACTTTTGACATTATTTCTTGTCGGTCTTCGCGATAAACGCGCGAGACGAGATATATCGAGTTGATCGTCTGCGGCCCTCTCTCTCTCTCTCTCTCTCTCGTTCTCTCGAAAAAACGCGCGATTATCTCGGACAATTCCTCGGCGCCTCAACGGCGACAACGAGAAGGGAAGAAAGGGGAAACGAGCCGTGCTCTCCTCTTGAGCGCGTGCTCAAGAGCTTTGCAAGCTCGCTGAATTTCTATGCCCGACCCGAGGGAAAGGGGAAGGTCTACCACCCGCGTTCCCGCATGTCCTTATAGACCCATTCTTCTTCCGTCGGGACTTCTTACGCGCCGGATTACACGCTGTTACGGAGATCTTCCCACGGATACCGACTACGCGGCGGGCCTCTCCGCGAGGTATCGAAACAGAAAAGAGGGACAGAGAGGAAGAAAAAAATTGCGAAGCTAAGACGGCGTGTAAGAGCGCCGCCGTCGCGTTTGTTGCGGATCTTTCCGTCTTGTTCATACGATAGAGAGGAGAGTTCGCCGGCACTTATTGACGGATCGTGACAAATCGTCACCGTTAGGGCGCGGCGTTCGTGACTATCAGATGAATAATGATGCCTCGTGAAGTACATCAAGCTGTAGGAAAGCGGACTGTTGTAAAAAAAAAGGCGTGCACCGCAAAGAGGGAAGTAATAGCATGAGAGCGCGGAAGAGAACGGATTGGCTCTGTTAATATCCTTTTTTACGACCGATAAATACGACACGAAACTTTCTTTACTTACGTGAAATTATTTTCTTCGCGAAGCGAGGGGAATTCGCTTCTATCTTCTCTGACGTTGCTCGTGGAATAACACCGCGATCGTGACGCTGAAGTAACATCATAGGTCTCTCAGACCTACATCACGAAAAAAAAATTCGTTAGATTAGATACCCCTGAAATGAAAAAAAGAAGACTCACCGCGCTATGAGAGTACGCAACTCGATATGTGCGGGACACTCGATTCCCTTTAGAACGGAATTTTATCGCCCTTCGTCTCCGCCCGTTATCGCGCTCCCGTGCAAACGCAGCCGCTCGATAAGGTGTCGTTTCTCGAAAGAAACTCGGCGAGCGCGAGGACGACGTCGCGCGACGTTATTCTCCATTAGACGTGCTCGTCCGAGTCGATCACTGTCGGGCCTGCCGCCGTTAGTCGCAATAAAAGCCCAAAAAAGAGTTTATTAAGAATCACTTGACTCTACTCGACCTCGTGTCGCCGACTTGGCGCACGATCCAAATGTCACGCGGACACCGTTTCCCGCAGGACATTTGAAATCGTTATGTAGTACATCTCCTCTTTATCGTCGCGCCAAGGATTAAGATTACTGGCAAGGATGGCCCGCACTTTCTAGAGCGACAGTTTATCGTTTCTCGAGTATTTCTCGCGGAATATTTAAAAGTGAAAAAAAAAATGTTGGGAAAAATTACCGATCGCGCGCAAGAGCAGTTTCGGATATTGGGAAATCCAAGACACGCGCAGCGGCGGGAGTCGTTTCCTCTAACGGAACGCGGCGTCGAACCGCTCATTTGATCTCATGAGCGTAATGAAAACGATCGATGGCCGCCGGTTCGCTGATCTCTCGAGTCCTCTGCGACTCGAGTCTTCGGATATACAACGAATCTGCTTTATTTAGAATCCCATTTATGGGACTACCGGGCCGGAATAATCCGCGTTGAGACAAAAATATCCATTTTCGATTCTCCTCGCTGCGCAACAGAAGAGAGGATGTGAGGGGAGAAGATGTAGAAGCCGAGCGATGGACGGACCAGCGTCCCGGTGGCGAAAGGATCACTGACGGGATCGCCGAGAGGATGCACAAGCACACCAGCCAGCTACGCGGTCCAGGTGGCCATAATGGCGGCTATCACGGCGCTAACAGGGGCCCCGTGAGGAGATGGAACAGCTTCCATGGTGGCGGCGGTGGTGGTGTTGGTGGTGTTGGTGGTGGTGTTGGAGGTGGTGGTGGCACCAGTAATTTCAACGATGGCGTTGGGAACGGCGGCATGATCACGAAAGCCTGTCAGGAACCCTTCAGGGCCGTGCCTAGAGCGGTCCAGGCCCTCAGGAGCGAGTCCGTCGACAGGACTCCTCGAGCTCAGCCGCCGCCGCCACCCGCGTTCCCCAGGAGGAGATTCTCCGTGTGGTGAGTCCTCGCAGGATCATGTTGAAGAAATTTTCATTGTCTCTCCCTCTCTCTCACTCTCTCTCTCTCTTTCTCTCTCGATGGTGTGAATATAGTATTACGTAGATCTAGATCTCTGTATACCGTTATCTCGTTGCCGTGCGGCCGGCGGACTTACTTATCGTACTCTCGTCCGAACTTGTGCGAGACAACGATACATCCCTGTTGTTATTGCATTCCTGTTAATTATTCTATCGTAACAATGTGAAATCCTCGACCTGTAATTACAGTTGGAATTTTAACGACCGAGAGTTGTTTGTCTGTGAACTTAACATATAAATATATACATCTTAAGTGTAGGAATCTCACCTATTGTTTTCAGTCACGATAGCGGCTGATAACTGAGAAGTCCCTCAAATCACAATCGCGGTTTAGCGTTGCGCGATACAGACAACTTTTTGTCTAGTGACATGCGAACTTGATTTAATCGTAATAATAAAGTTGAGACTAAGATTCAACCATAATGTGCACAGTGTTAACTGAATGATGCGAGATATTTCTTTTTCTCTGTGCTTTGAGGAAGTGATACAAAATGGCCAGAGAATATTATTATTTGTATTAATTTTTACGAAGTTAATCGTTTGTATTATTTTATTTTCCCATCGCAATGGTTTCGTACGACTACTCCGTAGACCTGGGTATTTTTACTGATCGCTATTTTTGCGCCGGAGTTCTTTTCTTTTTTTTTTTTTTTGGACACGTCTGGGACACAAGGAGATTTAACGTGTACCCGGCGGAAGTCGTCGACGGACAATTTTGCGCTCTCGGCCGCGTGAAAGGGGAGCCTAATAGCGCGGTGAATAAGATTAAAAAGAAAGGATAATAGAAAGGGTAATAGCTCTAACGGCGTCATAGAAATATTTCATTACGCTGAGTGGATCCGCGGCTTAGTCTCATGAAATGGGACGGATAATTTCGCAAAATGGACGACGTGAGAGAGAGAGGGAGAGGGCGGGAAAGAGCGAACACGCTCAGGCATGCGAGATTGTCGACAATGAAACGGCCGCGCCGGCCCTGTTAAGACCGGAGCGAATTATAACGAGCGTTCCCGCGGGTGTATTTCGGGAAATGGGAACAGAAAGACACCAGCGGACAAAAGTTTGCGCCGCTTGCTCCACGCCACTGTGTGGAATAAAGCGGATGCGACACTTGTGAGCGCGCGCGCGCGCAGCGGCGGCGCTTTGATTGCTTCCGTTGTTGAGCGTTGGCGGAAAACGAGCCGAAGGTACACACCGCGAATCGCGCTTGCAAAACTGTAGTAGTAACGTCGATGTCGCCTCTGCCGTTGAATTTCGCTTTCACTTTTCCATCCGATTGCCGGGCGAGTCTTTTTCAACTGCAGCGCGCGGAACACGCCGCGAAGTAACACTGGACTTCACTGATGTGTACATCACTAAAGATTACAACACGCGTCATAATTTCAGTCATAATTCCGATATGGCCAGCATTACAAAATCTTGCGGTAATTTACCTACAATATTCCCCCCGTGTACTAGTGACGATTATACACCCGTCAAATTGTACGGAAATAGTTCGAGGAAGAAATTTTTTGTCGCGAACGCGCTCGTTTCCACTCGTTAATCGGCGAGCAGTCGCATGTCAAAACGTGAACGTTGCATATCATTAATTTATTAGAGTCCATTAGAGACGCTAAAGTGTGCTGTATTTTCGCTTCGTGACTATGTTCCCATTGCGAAATAATTTATTCAAAGCGCCCGCGCTGTAACCGATCCGGTAATTACGGAACAGGAGGGTCGTCGCCAAACTTAGCCATTTCGTCCAGATCGATCGTTCGCTCCGTAAGTGTGGGTGGATCGCTTTCGGCCGAAAAAAAAACTGACGACGGCCGTGCTCGCCTAACGAAACAATTATAATCCCGAGTCGGCGTAGCGCGCGACATTCACGGGGTTAATTCGTGTAACCGAGTCGAGAGGGCACAAGCGGGGAAGCGCGCGCGTCATCCACGTCGAATTCAATTTTCTGCGGTGCACGCACGAGCGATGGGATGCGTTACGCATTGCGTTACGCATCGCGGCCCCGAGTTGTGTGTACAAGTCGAGGGAGGAAGGAGCGGGATAACACGCGCGGGTCAACAGCCTTCGACAACCTTACGGCCTTCTGCAACCTCTCCTTTCCTCCTTCCCGTCTGCCGTCTCGCTTTTCCGATTCTCTCTCGGTCGGTCGCGCATCGGCATTCGATTCACGGTCGTTGCCGTCAAATTGAGGACTTTCCGCGGCGCGCGATACAGGCGTGAAAAGGTAAAATGTTCGAGAAGCACTAAACCCCGTGCTGTTCGCTTTGATTTCTCGCGCGGAAACAAAAGCTCTCGTCGCATCACGTCGAGAATTGATCAACAGCGCCGTAATTAATGTGATAATATTCTCGCTTATATGTAAGAATATCTATCGTTGATTCAAGACTATTTCTTACCAATTTTGTTGATACAACAGCATCTTTTTCCGTGCATATCTTGTCCCTTTGCCATCCTCATCCTGTCGCAATCCTACGTTTAAACGAATGTAACGCTTTAACTTAACGTACGAGCGGATTTAACGTTCAAACGAACCGAAAATCATCGCTATATTTTATCGATGTCAGAGGGAGAGCACATTTTTTTCTTCACCAGTAATTTGAGGTAATATTTAGTAATAATCCAATTAGTGGTATCGTCGTTTGACTGGCTAGGGTTGCGTGCGACTGTAGCAATAACACGCAGAAGGGAGGTTCGATATCACGCTATGCGTCTGTTTCTCTACCGGGAAAGGCGATTTCGATTCGGGCAATCACATTTCGGCGCGTGAGAGATATCGCCGAAAATCGGTCGGACCCGTTGCGCTTTTATGGCTAATTTGAGGAGTGCCGCCCTCTCGTCGATGGGGAACATCTGTCGATGGCGCAGCACCCAATATCGCAGTAACGTTAATGCCGGGGCGTAGCTCTCCACGGCGTTACCATGTAATACGTGTTTGCACGAACGTGCGAACACACTCGTATCGCCGTTCGATTCGAGACGATGCGAAATTGAGGGGCTCGTATGATGAATCATGGTTTGAGGGGGTTTCTCTCTCCTTGCCCCGATCCTTGCGATAGACGATACTGCGAAGAAGCCGGAAAAGATTGTTGACTCTCGGCTAAACGCTACTTTGCTCTTTGACGGAGAACTTCCTTGTTATTCATCGGAATTCAAGTGGAAAAAACATAGATATATATGTATACAATCGAGGAATATATTTTGTTTGTGCAGTGCGATGGAATTTATAATGGGAAAATGTAGAATCCTTTGTCGTTTTTGCTGTTGCAGCTTCGGGAAGCGGACGGGTGGCAGTGCCAGGAGACCCAACGAATGCTTCGTCCTCGAGCCCTCCGAGATGATTGTCGTGAGTAGATTTTCTCATTTTAATAATGATAAAACGAAAACTCGTACGCGCGTGCTTTCGAGGAAAGAAACTTCGCGGGAGTTCTCACGTCACATTGAAAATTCGTACGCGACTTCTGCACAGAATGTTCATGCAAACCTATCTAGGACGCGGCGAGTGTAGAATATTTGTGGGGAGTAATTTCGGCGAATCATGCGCACACGTCGGTGCATAGAGGACCGTATGTAACTGCGCATTCCGTTACTATGTTAACCAGGCTGTAGTTAATTGTGTCGATTGTAGCAAATTGCCGCTGTTACTCTCACTGAAATTATTTTTAACATTGAGATATGATATAAAAAATGAGAAAAAAGGCATTTTTTAATGTATCCCTAATTTAACTTAATATATTGTGTTTATGTTATCTCAATATTTTGTGTTGAAATAATTGCAAAGGTGAGAGTTGACTGTCAAGCTGTAGCTAATTTTAACATCGTAGGAATCCAGTTAGGATAAAGAACAAACGTTACGATATATTTCCCTTGAAAACATACACGTGCTCGATTTGCGTTAAAGTTCTCGAGAGAGAGAGAGAGAGAGAGAGAGAGAGAGAGAGAGAGAGAGAGAGAGAGAGTTTAGCCGCGGGAATGTTTTTATTTATTCAGTTTCATTAAAAAGCGCGACTGGGTCCGGCGCGTTTTTCCCGCGCAACGGCTTCAATCAAAGTCGAAACCAGGCGGACAGGTGTAATATTTTTCCGCCCGGTTCGTCCCGCGGAACGAGAAACGGCCACGGCCGTTTACGAGACATTCGTCGAGTGCACTGCTTGCGAACCGAGTGCGGTAAGTGCGGCGATATCGCGCGGCGAAAAGACAATGCGCTCTCTCCGGAACGCCTATGAGACGCAACGCGCCAGACAGTTAATCAATAGTTTCTCTCGCATTATGTTCAGGTTGAGTTTTGGAATCCCCCGTCACGCTCCGGCAGTTAGCTCGCTTTATTTCGTCCTCAAGCGGCGGTCGATTCCACGTGCCTAAATTGGGGCAAACTTCCAGACACGGCGGACTAATGATCGCGAGTCTGCCGATGGAGAAAAAAAGAACGAAGAATAGAAAATGCCGCATCGTTCACGATGCGCCCGAAAGTGTCCGAATTTCTGGCCGCGTCTACACAGAATTTTCACGCGCGACGAATATCATCTCGGGCGGATTTTTTTTTTCGCTCTCTCGGTCGTTTTGTCGCGCACGTGAAGTAAAATAAAATAACCGCGCGTACAACGCGAAAGCAATCGGATGATTGAAATTACTGCGGGCATTGTTTTATGTTGACTGATTTCAAACGTGAATCGACGTTCTTTTTTTGACGCGAATTATTTATTTCGTGTAACTTTGACGTCATCCTGCATCACCGATTTTATAAATTTCTCGAATATCTGTCGAGATAATTAGCACGAGTTGTTTTCCATATCTCTCTTTTTCTTTACAAAGAAGAAAAGAGGAATGCAGTCCGTGATAGAGATGAATATCTCAGATCACTTTACCTGAGAGCATTTTTTATCGTACTCTCTTGAAAATGCGAAACATGACCTGCTCTCGCGTATCCGGGTTTAATTACATTTGCAGTCGCGGCATTAATTACGGAGTTGCACGCTGATATTTCAGGTTGAACTTTATTCGTGCGTATGAAATTGTTGGGAATTCCGGCTCGCGTCGCTAATTACAACGTGTAGACGGAAAATTAAGTTCTTGATGCGAGCTGCCATCTATAGCGACGCCGTGGACTGCTTTACCGACGAATAGCGCGCGGCATCACTTGCTGATGGTCGATTAAACCGTATAATGAGAACGATAAATTCATTGAACGATAACAAAAAGGGAATTATTTCAAAATCATCAACACGCGGGAGAGATTTGTAGGTAAATTAGATTTCTTAAATATATAACTCCTCTCTGACCGACTTATTTAAAATACATTTGATAGAAGAATTTTTCGAGACTCGGCGCAATAATAATATTTAATATTAAAATTTAATTATATAAAACCCTATTTCTCTCTCGGTAAGAAATTATTTTTCCTTACTCGAGTAATTTTATACTCGATGCGTACTTTCCAATTTTCAACTTTTAATTAACGTTCTCTCAAAATCAACTTAACAACAGTGCGTAATATCGATCTTATTAGTCGTGCAACACCTACCATAATACATTTAATCGTTCACCCGGAAAGTTCGTGCAAGAAATATTGGCGTCGTGCTGGATATACTTTCCAATTTGCGAGAGAATAGCGCCGGGTATTACGGTGTATCGGACTTAAGGGCTTAGCCCCGCGCTCAATATCAATCTGATTCGGCTTCCAATTACGGATTACTTGCGTGTAAACTAATCCGAGCGCGGTATTACACGACACATCGTATACTCATTTCGCGAGCGCGCAGAGACTATACCAAAGGTTACATCATTCTCGTAATAACCGCGTGAGCGAACCGAGCGCGTTGTTTTTCGCCGTATTGAACTTTGAAATTTCGCCTGGCGGATTCTGCGTTTATTTGTACGCTCTGTTATTTCGAAACGTAATTATAAAAATTAACTCCGTCCGAGGCGGATCCCGTTCGCACGCGAGACACGTGAAACTCTTTTACCCCTTCCCCCTCCAACGATAGTCAATGTTTTCCTCGTGCAATTACGAGGATTCTCCCTGCCGGAACTCAACGATGCGATCTACGGCTTCCGCTTCGTCGTTCTCGATCGAGATACGTTCGACAGATGATGAAAAAAATTCGCAGAAATATCCCCGTCCCTCCGGAATCGAGCGAATATCTGCGAAAATGCGAAATGTGGCCTTTGACCCGGTTTGCGCGCGCGTTCGCTAAAGCCCGATAACGCGCCGTGGATATTGATTTAATTTTGATACGCGCACACGACGACTAGTCGAGACGAGGGGGATTTTTACCCCGATCGCGTCTCGGCAACATTTGTCGCCGCCATTTATGCGAAATTCCGATCGTATCGCGTTCGCCGATGAATAGGGCGGATCTTCTTGCGCGCGATGTGTCGGGAAAAATATCGACATGTCGTGTCGTGGCAGGTGATACGCGAGAGAGCGAGCGGGTGCGAGTTCACGTGTGTCCTCGGGCCACTCTGTGACCTGATGGGCGAATTGGACGTCTGACCTTTAACCTTCCTCCCGTCGCTCCGTTCGCACGCGCCATCCGAGAGAGAGCTCATTGTGCTTCGCTCTCTCTCTCTCTCTCTCTCTTTCTCTCTCTGTCTCTTTCTCTCTAGTCGTCGCTTCGGATGAAGATTAATCATCATCGTGGAGTCTACCGACGAATAAAAATCACATACATACTTTCTGTCTCTCTTGACGTTGAAAAAATCTATTAAGACGTTCGCGTGTGTTTTGCACACAGCACGAGAATTCATTTCACGCAAAAGCCCTAATTAAAACGCGAGATAGTCGCTGTCGCGTATAATAATAATAATAATATTTACTTTATTGGACGTACATGAGACTGACAACAGCATCAACTTTATAGCTGTTTTCAGTGCTTTACTTTCTAAAAAAAATAAATACTGTAAAATAAAATAATAATAAGAATAAAGAACTACAAAATAATGAGATGATGGGAAGAAAAATATATTCTTTAGCGCTGTGGCTGCTGTTAAGTAGGACTTTCGGGAAGATACTTCGAGATGCTAATTTCATCGTTAAAAACAAAAAACGAGACTAAAAAATTCTAAGCTTAGAGAAAACGACTTTTCTCGATTGAGAACATCGAGTTTAGTTAATAAGCAGCTGAAAACCAACGAACCGTAGCTTCCGGGCGCACTTAGGCGTACACAAAGCGCTATTGTCCATTTAAATTCATTCTCGAGGACATCTTCTTCTTGGAATTTCGATCGGATGTTTAATTAACGAGATGTTTAACGCGGGAAAGCAACAACAAGTCGCGTTAAACGCGCATCTGCTCCGACATTCTCTCCGAGCCGAAATCGATTCTTCATCGCCCGCGTTTCCCCGCGACGTTCATCGATGACGAACGAGAGTTATTAATTTCGCGCGACGACCAGACGATACGTATCTCTGGCGGGCGTATCTTGCATGAAACATAAACGGAGCGTCGTGCAGGATGCGGGCATTAATTGCGTAATGAGCACGACTCTGCGGCACTCTATCCTTCGATGCGTCGTCGGCGCGTGCATTTTTCAACAGGCTTATCGCCAGTGACGAAACAACGTCGGGCGCCTGGAAACGCGTCGGCGCCCGACGTCCGCGTTCATCGGACATAAATCGTCTTTGTTTCGCGTGGAATTCGATCGTCGATCGCGTCTCACGATTCATCATCCTCGTCGCGCGTCTCTTGAGCGACGTAAAAGGCACAGATCAAGTCGCGTGTAGTCTGTTTTCTTCCCTTTCTTTTACTCTTTTTTTTTAATTTCATTAACATATACAGATTAATTTCGTGTATTCCTTTAATACGCATGAACTCTTGATTCTACGAATGTTTCTTTGGATCGTGTACTTCGTTCATTATTTTTATCGTATTTTTATTTACTTGTAATATTATTGATTTATATTTGTTGACTTTCACAAAGTAAAATTTTCGATTCGCAGACATATCGTAAAAATATCGATATCTCGCGGAAAATCTCCGTTCCTACGTATTCACAGTCGGGAAGTAAGTGATAAGACTAGCCCTAAGATAAGCGTGAGACTTATCTTACTTAAGGAAGTGTCTTATCGTTCATGCGACAGTTGTAAGACTCGCAGGTTTACGGTTTGTCTGTAGAAACTACGCGCCGTAATTTTCGTTATCGGGAACGATAATCGAGACGAGACCCCGCCAACCGTGACATCGGCAATTTTCATTGTCCGTTGTATTCTATACCGAGGAAATAAACCGTCGATTGGGAATCGCGGAGGGGGTCGACGGAATTTCCGGTATCGTCCGTCATGCGGATGGAAAGTTATCTCTCAAAGGGGAAACTTCCTGCTTATGCGGAAAAGTGCGCAAGCATCAG